GTCGCGAACCATTTCAACTCCCCCTCCCATTCCTCAGACGACATGTCCATCCTGGGCCTCCTGCAGTGCCACAACGATGCCACCCGAAGGTTGCAGGAACAGCAACTCATATTCCGCTTGGGAACCCTGCAGCCCAATGGTATCAATGTGGATTTCACAAGTTTCAAAATCTCCCCTCCCCCTACCGCATCCCAAAACCAGTCCAGCTCGTCCCTGCCTCCCTAACCTGTTCTTCCTCCCACCTATCCCCTCCTCCCACCTCAAGCCGCACCTCCATCTCCTACCGACCAACCTCATCCCGCCCCCTTGACCTGTCCGTCCTCCCTGGACTGACCTATCCCCTACCTAACTCCCTACCTACACTCACCTTTACTGGCTCCATCCCCGCCTCTTCGACCTGTTTGTTTCCTCTCCACCTATCCTCTCCTCTATCCCTCTTCTATCCGCCTCCCACTCTCTCCCTATTTATTTCAGAACCCCCTTCCCCTCCCCCTTTTCTGATGAAGGGTCTAGGCCCGAAACGTCAGCCTCTCTGCTCCTATGATGCTGCTTGGCCTGCTGTGTTCATCCAGCCCTGCACCTTGTTGTCTAGTAAAATAGTTTACTTGGAAGATAACTTAATGAACAGACAGTAGGTTATTGTGAATGGGATGTTGCAACAGATTCTTGTTCACGACAAGGTCCATGAGCTTTGACACAACTGACAGTAGGGCTGTTGATCTGTAGTTATCAAGATCTGACTTTAATCTCCTTTAGGTAAGCATAAATTCTGTGTTTTTTTCCACTTAAACAGGACACCATTGGTTGTAGGAACATTCATGGATGGCCCACCAGTATAGACTTTTGAGAAATTAGTATCCAAGCCATGGGCCATGGCCTACTTTATTATTCAGCTATTGGAGGAAATTTATTTTTTGTGGTCTCATCTCAATTCACAAGCTGGTTCTGCAACTCATTGGACTTTTGGAATTCCTCCCTGAGTTTCAGATAATATTTCCACGAGAAGTCATTTCATTTTGTAGTAGAAGGAATTCAAAGCTGAGCCTGGTATTAGAAACATGTTCAATTTAATTGCAATATTAAAGTATCCGACAGTTGAAAAGCACTAAGAATGTTTCTACTTTTAAAAAAATCATCATTGCCTAATTATGAAAATGGCTATAGTTATTCAGCTCCAGGATTCATGTCAAGATTAAATTAAAAAACGACCCTGGTGAAAGCTCATTATCCTGAACCATTAACTCTTTTTCTCTCTCCACAGATGCTGTCAGACCTGCTAAGTATTTCTAGCAGTTTCTGTCCTTATCTCAGATTTTCAACATTTGCAGTATTTTGCTTTTACAAAGTTGGGTAAGGGTGAGTGAATGATGCAGACTTGTTCAACCCAAGGTGATTTTTAAAATTCTCATGCTTATGTCATGAAGGGTAAATTGGCAATGGACAAAAGTCAGGTTTAATTTAATCCAATTTCTGTGTTTCTGGTACAGAATGAAAGAACAGCGTGAGCATGCCAAGAATGCAACTTGGAAATGAACTGCCATGCATTCTCCAGTAAAACTACTGGAAATACTGAGTGCATGCATTTTACTGCAAAGTACCTCAGAAAAAAAAAAATGGAGGGCAGTTTGTGTAACATCGAGTGAATAGTTAAGAGTATGATGTAGACAGGGGAAGCAGACCACCAGCATTCCTACCCTATTGGGGAATGGCCCAGGGCCTATGAGAAAGAATAGAGAAATGCTATGCTGTATCTTCAGTGGAAACAAGATCAACATCAACTTCATTACTACTTATAAGATTTCAAAGTAACAGAACTGTAGCTACGTACCAGCAAACCACACAAGTGTGTTTTTGTGAAAATCTGTATTAACTGCTTCCAGTATCTGCCCAATGACATGGTCCAGCTCTCGTAGACTGTCTCCATATGGACCACGTTTGGAAGTGTTAGCAAATCGAGAATTATACTGTAAAGGAACATGCATGTGGGCCGGGGCAAAGTACAAGAAGAATGGATGTAAACTCTCCCTGAGAAAAACAGAGCAGGAAAGTCAACAGGATCAGGAGATAATGAAGACTTTTTTTAAAAAGTGCAATCTGACAATGTGGCAACTAAGGCCTTGATGACGTAAGCAATCTGATAACACAGAAAGTTTGCCTAATGCTCAGATCAGCTTTTTTACTTTTCAAATATCAGGTCAAATTAAGATCCAACTGATGGTACAAGAACCTCTGATATCTTTTAATGGACATGAGCTCCGGTGCGTGTAAAATAAGTGAATCTGGGGGAGCCTCAAGCTGCTTCTTTGGCATAAAATAGAAATCAAACAACTCATTCTAAATCTGGGAGATACATGCTATATATATATGCTACATGTAAATTGCTGAGCAATGCAGAAAAGATACCAAATTTCAAACACCATGATTCTCCTCAGCAATCTTTGGATTAGGAAAGGTTCCCTCTCTTGCCACCCCATTGAATATGGGGAATGAGAAACAAATCACTCAAAAAAAAGCGATTTTTCACCCAGCAGTGTCCATGATCCATTCTTTTCCAAATTCTCATTTTCCCCAGGGCCATAGCTTTAAACTGGATTAAGTTATTAATGAAGTATATGTGGACAATTACTTACACTGCAAAGCTATGTACAATCTTAGTTATGCACATTAATAATGTCTTGAGTTTAAGCCCTTGCAATCATTCAATCCTCCCTTAAATTCTGCACAGAATAGTTAATGTCACAGTGCTCAGGATTGTTAGACTCTAAACCAAAAACATGTTCAGAGGCAGCATACACAAAAAGCATCAGTGCCTGATAAACTTGGACATCAGGCAAGGGGGATTTAATTTTAGCTTTGTTATCTCTGCTCCCCATACTGCAATGTCCCTGTGCTAAATCACGGTGGGCAGAAGCAATTACTTGGTTGGGTTATAAGGGAGCAACTCACCTGTGGCGGTCTATTCCTGGGGGAAGAGGTAAATAAACTGTTGAGCAAAATATATTTTAAAAATAGGTTTTGTAGGGAAAGATAAACTTTGTGATCAAACTAAAACTGATCTAACGTGTACTAATGTGTTCCCTAGTTTCTTATGCCACATATCACCTCAGTCCTAATGGGTAGATATCTGACTTGAACCTGACATTCAACCACTGCTAAAGGGGGTGCAATGCCTGCCTCAAGATAACCACAGCAGCATGCTGTGTACTCAACGACACATACCTGTAGCATATTATTACCATCATGACCTGAGATTGTGCTGGGTAGTTTTGTGACTTGTATTTTCATTGTATCAATTCACAGTGACTATAGGTGATGATTTACTTGGGTGTAGATTATTTTCAGTGAATTACAGCATTGGATGTCATCGTTCCCTCACCTCAATAAATAACAGACTCCCACTTACCTTGCCTTCTGGATGAATTGTATAGCTTTTTCTGCATATCTCTCTGCCAGGCTGCTGAGATTGACTGGTTGTTCTATTATCATTTGGTTTTCAAGGAGTGGCACTGCTACACCTGTGGTACATGTGTTGCGTCTACAGCTAGACAGAAAGCAAAACATGCTGGTTTAGTCTTGGTATCAGATAAGACATTCAGAAAGATTTGAAATTCAAAAGACATTTACCATATAAACTCTGACACAGTTGTAAGCAATATTTTCAAAATGCTGAATTTAGGATTACACCCTTGGCTGACAAGCACAAGGTATACAAATATCACAAACCTGAACCTCCATTCTGTCTCTAAAGTCCTTGAAGCTAATGTTACATCCAAAATCCCTTGCAATATTTTCCAGAACTCTACATATGAATCCCTCAGTCAGGTTTCTGCTCCACCACAGAACCGAAACAAGTTTTAAAATCACAAATGCTATTCTGTATGACTGTGATAAAGGTAAACTATCCCTCCTCCTCTTTCTTCACTTGCCTACAGTCTTTAACAGAGTAGACCATGCTCTCTTCCTCCAATACCTCTCTACTGTTGCTCTGTTGGATAGGGGCTGCTGTGGTTGCTGTTATACTTTTCTTTCCAATCAAAGTCAGAGAATTTACTGCAGTGGTTTCTCTTCACCATCTCACAGTTATCTCTGGTGTTGTCTGAGGATTCACCAGCCACACTAGAACCTACAGAACCCATGAGCAATGCCATGGAATTTCCTAGGTGGACAATCATACTCATTAGCAAGTGATTGCCTAAAGAGATTGTCAGTTTGCTTGTCAGACATCCAGTACTGCAGGATGAGCAAGACGTCCTCTAACAAAATATTTGGAAGATTTAAGCTATTGCCTGAAGCTACTTCCATAATCTATTGCATAGCCACTGACTCCAAGGTGAGATTTTAACTCACTAAAAATCCATCCCGTACAGATTTAAAATCAGGCCCCAACTCCCTCCCAGACAATGTGTTTTTTGCTGATCCAGACAATTCACAACCCGGTGAGCTAGCAACCACATACTCATGCCATCACAAAGTCCACTTACTTTTGGCTGTGTAATGTTTGCCAACTCCACCTTAACTCATTTGCCATTGAAACCATTATTCAAATAATTTTTGCTCTAGAATTATTTTCTTTAACGCACTCTCAGTCAGTCTCCATCATTTAACCTTGGTAAATTTAAGGACATCGTAATCTCTACTGCTCATGTCTTAATTTACATCAAGATATATTCAACCATCACCACTGTGCTCATTGATCTACACTGAGAAAGAAATGCCTCAATTTTAAAATCCTCATCCTTGTTTTTAATCCCTCTAATCTTGTTCCTTCCTATCCTTGTAATCTCCTCCAGCTCCACAACTCTCTGAGATACTGTGTTCCTCTAATCCAGGTTCTTGACAATATCTGATTTTAAATTTGTAACTATACCTTAATTTCAATTACCATGGTCCCTCCTCTTTTCAACCTAGTACTGTCCTCCTCTTACATTCAATGAATGAAAATAAAGGTAAGTGTTGCTGGCAAAGGCAGCATTTATTGCTCATTCCTTGTGGGCCTTTATAGTGTATCTATATACAGTCCATCTGATGTAAACATCTCTAAAGTGCTGACAGGGAGATCCAGGTTTTGACCGAGCACCAGGGAACCCAAGTTCAGATTGATGTGGAGGTGAATCTGCAAGTGGTGATGTTCCACTGTCTTTGTCCTTCCAGGTTGGAAAGGTTACAGGTTTGGAAGATGCTGCTGAAGAACCTTGGTGAGTAGCCGAATGCAGCTTGGAGACAGTACACATCGCTGCCACTTTGCAGGGAGGCAGTGAATGTTTAAGCCGGTGGATGGGCTGTTAATCAAGCAGGTTGTTTTGTCTCAGGTTGCAATAAGTTTCTTGAGTGTTGTTGCAGCTGCACTCATCTGGGTTAGTGCAGAGTATTCCATCACTCTCCAGACTTGTACCTTGTAGATGGTGGAGAGACTTAGAGGAGTCAGGAGGTGAGTTACTCATTGCAGAATTCCCAATCTCTGATCTGCCAGTTAGATGCAAGCTAGCTTTAAACACTGCAGAGTAACTTAAATTGGTGCTAGTCACATCTGATACTGGCTACCTGTTTGGCTCCCAACCAATCAACAGTGTGGTTTACCTTGGCTAGACAGTGAAAGCATTCAGAACATAGGCAGCATGAAATTGACATGCTGCTTGCATGGCAGCCAATGGACATAGGTAAGCTGAGCATCATGATCCCTGCAATTAAGCTTCCAGAACTACCAAATGTAAGTCCATACATGCTATTGTATCATACTGGGAGTTAATTTCCTCAGAACTTCTCCTTCACCACTGCTGTAATATTTTACATGTGCAATCCTTGTTACTGAAGAACAAAACTTACTTATAAGAAAACTCCTTATAACAAATGTTGCTCCTACCAAACAGCTTAGTAAATGGTCACTTATAAACAATTTTAACATCCGTTTAACAGCTTCTGATGTCAGCAGATCACTCAACTGAATTATAGCCTTGTAATTTGTCTCAAACCTCACTACTGATTACAAAAACAGAAATTTCTGGAAAAGCTCAGCATCTGTGTACAGAATCAGAGTTAACGTTTCAGGTCCAGTGACCCTTCCTTAGAACACTGTCGCTGGACCTGAATTTAGCTGATTTTCCACAAATTTCCGTTTTTGTTTCTGATTTCCAGTATCTGCAGTTCTTTCAGGTTTTACTCAGCATTTAACTCACTCCTGTTTATCCAGATTCTTTGAAAGATAAACAATGGAAATAAAATCTCCATCCAACTGAAAAGGCCTCGTTAGAATTTTGCAGCTGATGGCTTATTGCTTGCTCAGTTAGCGGAACTCAGTCAGGGCATCAACAGAGACACAAGTGGCCAGAGCCCCTTCAGTGGAGAAGAATTAGATGGAGGTCCTGCCACTTGTCCAATATGCTGTACAGATATTAAGTAATAAAAGGGTCAGAGAGTTGTGAAGTTACTCAGAGAAAAACTTGCCTTTTACAGCACCTTCATGACCACCATGCATGCCATTGCGTTTTGTATCCAATTAAGAATTTTTGAATCATAGTTCCTACCGTAATGTAGAAAATGTGTTAGTTTATCTGTGCACAATAACGTCCCAGAAACTACAATGACCAGTTAATGGCTTTGTGATGTTGATTCTGATGGATAAATACTAGTCAAGGTACCAGGGTTAACTTCCCTGCCTCGCTTCAGAATTGTACTCTGGGACCTTCTGGATTTACCTGAGACGGTAGGTGGAGCTTTGCTTTAACATCTCATCTGAAAGCCAGCATTGATGACGGTGCAGCAGTCCTTTGTACTGCACTGAAGTGCCCACCTAGGTTGTTGAGCTACAGTTCTGGAACTCAAACCCACAACACCTGACTCAGAAACAAGACTTTTATCAACAGAATTGTAGCTAATGCACAAAAGTTGAATTACCTGTTAAAGATTTTCACCAAGGTCCACAAAAGGAAAAGTAGAACTAAGATGAATACAGGTTAAACCAAACTCCAAATTCAGTTAGTAGCTTCAGATGGAAGAAAATATTCCTATGGATTGTTTTATTCCTGTCACTGTCATGTATGCAAATAATAACAATTATTAATACAAAATAAGTTTATGGAAAGGTCTTTTAATGCTGTGCTAGTGTCCCTATATTGGGGCCAAAGACCTGGGTTCAAGTTCTACCTAAGACCATAGACATGAGAAATAGGAACAGGAGTAGGCCATTCAGCCCCTTGATCAAGCTCTACCATTCAATAAGATTATAGCTGATCTGACATTCCTCATATCCACTTACCTGCCCTTTCCCTATAAGGCTTGATTGCCCTACTGATCAAGAATCTATCTGCCTCAGTCTTAAGACCATAAGACATAGGAGCAGAAATTAGGCCATTCAGTTAATCGAGTCTGCTCCACCATTCAATCATGGCTGATAAATTCATCAACTCCATTCTCCTGCTTTCTCCCCGTAACCCTTGATAATCAGGAATCTATCTATCTCAGACTTAAATGTACTCAATGACCTGGCCTCCACAGCCTTCTGTGGATTCCATAGATTCACCACTCTCTGGCTGAAGAAGTTTCTCCTTATTTCCGTTCTAAAAGGTCTTCCCTTTACTCTAAGGCTGTGCCTTGGGTCCTAGACTCTCCTACGAATGGAAGCATCTTCCCAACATCCACTCTGCCTAGGCCATTCAGTATTTTGTAAGTTTCAATTAGATACCCCCTCATCCTTCTAAACTTCAATGAGTATAGTCCCAGAGTTCTCAAACGTTACTCATACGTTAAGCTTTCCATTCCTGGGACTGTTCTCGTGAACCTCCTCTGAACCTGCTCCAGGGCCAGTATATCCTTCCAGAGATATGGGGCCCAAAACTAAACACAATAAAAATTAAATATACACAAGGACTCTGCACCCCCCACCAACTCCCACCCCACAAACGACCCCCAGATCTCTGTGACAAGGAGCTCCAAAGACTCTCAATCCTCTGAGAGAAGAAATTCCACCTCATCTCAGTCTTGAATTGGTTCCATTTTACTCTGCGGCTGTGACCTCAGGTCCTAGACTCTCCCACAAAGGGAAATATCTTCTTAGCATTTACCCTGTCAAGCCCCTTAAGAATCCTATGTGTTTCAATGAGATCACCTCATATTGTGCCTTTGACACAACTGGAAAGATGTATATTTTCAGTTGCTCGTTTGCTCGTTGAACTGGTTGTTCCATGGTGTGCAGACGTTTTGTTACCATTCTAAGCAACATCATCAGTGTGACCTCGAATCGAAGCGTTAGTGTTCTGCTCTTTCTGAATTTATACGATCCTCTGGTGTGGTGGGTCTTGTCACTTCCAGTCCTGTTTTTCGGCAGCAGTCTTTATACGGGGTCTATTTTTATGTGTCTGTCAATGGAGTCCCGTGTTGAGAACCAGGCTTCCAAAAATTCCCTTGCATGTCTATTGTTCACTTGTCAAGCATTGCTGTTGACAAGCGAACAACAGACATGCAAGGGAATTTCTGGAGGCCTCGTTCCCAACACAGGACTCCAATAACAAACACATAAAAATAGATCCCGTATACAGACTTCTGCTGAAAAACAGCACCGGAAGTTACAAGACCCACCACACCAAAGGATCATATAAATCCGGAACAGAGCAGAACACCAACACTTCAATTAGAGGTCGCACTAATGATGTTGCTTAGAATGGTAACAAAACGTCTGCACACCATGGAACAGTCGGCTTGGCGAGCAAACGAACAACCGCATCCACAACCCGAGCTACAAAATTTTGCTAAGACCTTAAAAAAGATGTGTATTTTCAACAGCATAATCTAAGTTTTAATAACACTGAACTGACAAGCAATGATTCACAATATTCTTGAATTGCAAACCAGGCATAATTGAAAAAACAGCTAAAAAAGAATGATCTACAGTTATCACAACCACCTTTTAACTACATTACCTTTGTATATCAGAATCCCTCGGACAAGGTAGGCATGGAGGAACATTGTACCCAGGATCATCCGTGCAACCCATATCATTACTGTACGGTATTCCAAAATAGTAGTCAAAGCCTGTAACAAAGCACAACAGTTGTCTAAAAACTAACCATGTCTTATAGTGCTTCAACAGTGATGGCGTCTAGAACTGTTCCATTTGTTTTGCTAGTTTTTCACGAACATCACATTTACCAAATATGTCTTCGGAGGAACTGTCTTCATATTTCATCAAGGACCTTGGGTCAAACATTTCTCTTTCATTTGATTCCCAACCCCCACATTGATACTGCCAGACCTGAAAGTGTTCCAGCACTTTTTGTTTTTTTTATTTCAGATTTCCAGCACCCATCATATTTTGCTTTGATATCCTTGAATTGTTGTAATTGGCTCAGAGATCAAGTTGCTAGAAGGAACTTTTGGGTATGATTAACTTTATTTTGTCAGAAATTAGCAGACACAAACCATCAATGGGAAGATTATCAGTCATAAACTGAATAAGCACCAGGTCGATTTGGCTTACCAAGGCTGTCAACAATGAACTATAGATAAAGCTCCATGTTCCAGATGAAATATCTTTCAAACAAACACAGAATGCTGGAGAAACTCAGCAGGTCTGGCAGCATCTGTGGACAGAGAAACAGAATTAACGATTCAAATCCATCACGACTTCTTCAGAACTGAAAGGTGTTGCAAAATGTTTTGCTTTGTACTTTTGACAGAAGTAGAAGCCCAGTGCAAAAGACAAAGGGGTTGTTAATGGTGGAGAAAAAGAAACTGAGACATGAAATGGGTAAGCTAAGAAGTGAAAAGCAGGGAATGTAACATCTATACTAGGAGCAAAAGTAAACAAGGCAAGACTATGTGAGGGAGGAGGGAAGAGAATGTAAGACAAATTGAGGACAGTCATTACACAATCAACTTCTGAAGTTATGTAATTCAATATTGGGAGCTCAAAGTTGTAAAGTGCCTCAACAAAAAATGAAGTGTTGTTTCTCAAGTTTGCGTTGCACTTCACTAGAATATTGCAGCAAGCCCAAGACAGAAGTATTAGCATGATAGCAACATGGTTTATTGAAATAATAGGCAACTGGGAAACCAGGGTCATTCCTACAGACAGAGTGGAGATATACCACAAAGTGGTCACCTAATCTGTGTTTGGTCTCGCCAATGTAAAGACCACACTGTGAACAACAAATACTGTAAACTACACTGAAAGAAGTACAGAAAAACACTGCTTCACCTGGAGGGTGTATCTGAAGCCTTGGACTCCAGAAAAAAGGAGGTGAAGGGTAAGTGTGGTTGTATAGGAAGGTGCCATGGAGGAGCGAGAAAGTGTTAGGAGTGATGGAGGAGAGGACCAGGGTATCACGGAGGAAACGGTCCCTGCAGAATGCTGACAATGGTGGGGAAAGGAAGATGTGTTTGCTGGAGGCATCCTGCTGAAATTGGCAGAAATGACAGCAGATGATTCTTTGAATGCAGAGACTGGTGGTATGGAAAGTAAGGACGAGGGAAACCCCTATTATTTTTCTGGGAAGGAGGAGAAGAGTGAGGGCAGAAATGTGGGAGATGGGTCAGACATGGCTGAAGGCTACATCAAACATAATGGGGTGGTAAATGATGAAATTAATTGTACCTGGGAAAATTGGTTATCATGCCTTGTATCTTTTAAAGGGAAATGTTAACCTAATTCTACCTGCAAGATACTGAAAAGACTGGATGTCAAACCAATTTTACTTCCCACAGAAGTCAGTGGGTTAGGTTAAACTCACCCTGAAAAATAAACTGATCCATGAGGCAGATTTTAAAGAAGCACTGAAAGGAGAAGAGGGATATGAGCAGAATCTCCTTCCAATGTGACTTATCACCTTTCCAATCTCTTGCCATTTGTGGATCATCAAGGTTCAGCATCATTAGCATTACCATGACGGTTATTTTCAAGAGTAATCAACAGGCAGGGACACAGCTAAGTCCTGGAACATGTGCATCTTCCCACTTCATTTAAGTGTGATTTTAAAGCTTCGAGCAAGCAAATCAGGATCATAATGGGATCATAACAACAAACTGAGGTGTCTAACTATCGCAGCAGATTTGGCTGCATCTCTCTGTCCTATTTCTTTTTTGTCACATCACCTCCACGTCACTCAAAAAAGGAAGCTTTCTCAAGGAAAATCTAACTTTTTTTACTACTAAGCTTTGGGGAGCGATTACTAATATTAAGGATGAAAATTTCATTGTTTGTTTAAAAATAATATCGGGCTCTATTCAACAGCTTGATGAGTCATAGTTTCGTCATAAATTTTATAGAAGTTCCAAGTGCTTTGCCGGAAGATAGTGGCCGGTTGCCTACTTTTACACATGAAACATCAGTTAAATAAGCATCAGATTCACATTTCCTGTCCTCTGTGTAGTGCTCTCATTAGTCACCATGACTTCCCATAAGACAGGAAGGTTGAATTTAAAATAATTTAACTGTAAACTTGATTCAACTTTTCCATACTTCGTGGAGGTGCACTCTTCGTCAGCACCACATCCGAAGAATTTTAAAAGCTAGATATTTGTAAGCTGGAACAGTCATTAATAACTTCCTTGTTCTGAATATAATGTCACTCAGGTCTACTCTTTTTGTGCTGCATGCAATTTGGTATCTCAGCACATTTCCCTAATGGCTGATGGTGACAGACACAATGATCTTTACATGTTGCAGATTTTTGTATTGCTTATTCCACATTTAAGGAAAGCTGATTTCACTATTTTGCAATGGAAGGTAGTTGCTTGTGCTTGAAATGCAACTTGTTAGAAACTATTCATCAATTTTTCAAACGAAAAGGGGATTTTCTGCAAAACTTCAATACTACGTATCACAGATCTTAAATATAATACATTAATTCACTTATCAGTTATGGAGTCACAGAGTCATACAAAATGGTCCAACCAGTCAACACCAACCATGTTCCCAAACTAAACTAGTTTCACCTGCCTGCACTTGGCCCATATCTCTTCACACCCTTCGTAATCATGAACTTATTCAAATGTCTTTTGAACGTTACATCTGTACCTGCATCTACCACTTTCTCTGGCAGTTCATTCCATACGCTAACCACACTCTGTGTTAAAAAAAAAGTTGTCCCTCATGTCCTTTTTAAATCTTTCTCCTCTCACCTTAAAAAATGTGCCCCCTAGTTTTCAACTCCCCCACCCTAGGGAAAAGACCTTTGCTATTCACCTATCCATGCCCCTCATGATTTTATAAACCTCAATAAGGTCACCCCTCAACCTCCTACGCTCCAATGAAAGAAGTCCCAGCCTATCCTTATGACTCAAACCCTCCATTCCCGGCATCAACCTGGTACATCTTTTCTGAAACATCTCCAGTTTAATAACATCCTTCCTATAATAGGGCAACCAGAACTGGACACAGTACTTAATCATATGGCATCGAAATCACATATAGTTTTATAAAATTAAATAAAACTCAGCTTTGTACTCAATTTCTGACAGAAGGCTTCCTTACCACGAAAATTTGGATGGTAATAGCCATGATGTCCAAGATGCCATTTACCTGAGCAAAAGAAGAACGTGTACGTGAAAGTTTTATTTACAACTTACAAATTATTTACAACAACTTACAAATTCAGCAGTTTAAATTTAACTACATTTTAATTTGCTAACTTCATATTCTTCAAATGCTACGTACCTAAAATGTCCAGTTATTGAAACTTACCTTGACCAGCTATATTGTACATTTGGCACTGCAACGAAAACAGCAGATCAGAGGCTGACAATTCTGCAACAGGTTACATATCTCTAGACATCCCAAAAGATTGTCCATCATCTACATGGCACAAGTGAGGTGTATAATGGAATTTACCCTGTGTGCCTGGATGAGTGCAGATCAAATAACATTTAAGAAGCGCAACATCCAATTGATCAATCCACTTGATCAGCACCCCATCTACCACATAGAAGAATAAGGGTAGCAGATGCATGGGAATACCAAAACCTGCAAGTTCTCCTCTAAGCCACACATTATCCTGAAATGTGAACTACACTGCTGTTCTTTCACTGCTGGTGAGTCAAAATCCTGGGACCCCTTCACTTTGCAACATCATTATGGATGTACTGACATCATATAGACTGCTATATGATGTCGGCCTTGATTACAATCCCAGGAACTTAAAAAAGATTCATACAATTCTGTGTCGTGGCTGGTATGCCTGATGCTGTTCCTAGTAAGCTCTCCCACATTTATCATTGAACCAGGGCTCATCCATACCTTGACAATAATGTACAGTGAAAGATGTGCCAGGTCATAACGTTATAGACGGTGGTTGAATAACATTCTCCTGCTGCCTCATAATGTTCAGTTTTGAGTTGCTGGATCAATTCTGAAACTATACTATTTAGAATGGTGGTAATACCAGATAACTTGATGGAGGGTATTTCATCTCCACAAGGATCTCAAGGGAATGGATTACAAAAATAGGGAAATTTTGCTTAAACTATATAAGACACTAATCAGATTACACCTAGAATAGAGTGAACAGTTTTGCTCCCCTTTCTTATGTAAGGAAAGATATACTGGTATTGTAGGTAATCCAGAAAAGGATTAATAGGTTGATCCTGGATATGGAGGGATTGTTTTATGAAGAGTAGCTCAGAAGGTTGGGCTTGTACTCATTGGAGTTGAAAAGAATGAGAGGCAATCTTAATGAAACTTACAAGATTCACAGGAAGCTTGACCAGGTAGATGTGGAGAGGGTGTTTCCCATTTGTGGGAGAGTCTAGGATCAGAGGGAGTAAGCTCAAAGCAAAGCCCAGTTAGGTCAGAATTGAGGATGAAATTCTTCTCTCCGAGGGTAGTGCATCTGTGGACTTCTACAAAAAGATGTAGCAACTGGGTCATTAAGTATATTCAAGGCTGAGATAGACAGATTTTCAATCAGTGAGGGAATCAAGAGTTATGGGAGAAAAAGCAATAAAGTTGGGTTGAGGATTATCAGATCGCAATGATCTCATTGAATAGCATGCAGATTCAATGGGTCAAATGGCCCACTTCTGTTCCTAGGCCTCATGGCCTTATGGACTCTGAAATGGTCATTCCTAGCAATACTCTCTGGTTAGATATCTCTCTGGCAGGTAGACTGCTGAGGGCAAGGCCAAATAGGTTTTCACCCATGTAACAACTCTTACCACCCTCAGCAGTCCCATTATGGAAGATATTCAGGACTTCACCAGCGAGCTCAGTTGTGGCCCTACTGCTGAGGGGACTCAGTAACTAGTAATCAGCAGGAGATTTCCTTACCCATTTTGACCTGATACTGTGGGATTTCATGGGGTCCAAAGTCAACAGTGAGAACTCTGACAGCCATTCCTTTCTAACTGTACAATACAATGCTCCCATCACTGTGACAATCATTTTCCTAGTTTTATTAAATTTAAATTTCCCCAGCACCAAATGTGGGATTTGAAGTTTTGTTGCTAAAGCACTAACTCAAGGTCCTTAGATTTTGAGTCCTGTATCACCATTTCATCATCATTATCACCATGCTACCATCCCCAGTTAATACAAATTGACAGACAGGAACAGGCAAGCTTATCCACTAGATCTGTTTCACATTCATAATAGCTGCAGAATCTTGACTAGGAATGTCCAACTCTTCAATTATATCATCTCTTCAAAGTGTTTTAGTGCATGGCCCAATAAAGGGGGAAAAAATCCAAATCACATAGATGACTGAAACTAGTCCAGGAGATCATACAAAACATGTTCTCTTTACTGAACTGGGAAAGATTGTGACGATGTGTGAGGTTTGGCAGGTGAAGAAGAATAAGTTGGGTCAGACTCAGCAAGACAGTTTCGAAGGTCAAGGCCAGCGATCAATTGCAACACGAGCTTTGTTTGAAGATCAGGGGTGAGGATTCTCCCTGGTTCACAAGCAGTGCTCTAACCTCTGAGATCTTACTTTACATATTACAGTGGTAAACTCAATCCCTCTACAGACAGAACATTTATACTCTGCAACTCTTTGCTGCAAAACTAGGGGAAAGAACACAAGCTGATTATACATTTTTTTACGTTAAGCAAAACATTACATCAAGGACAATCATGGAGATTTTAAATTATTTCTGTAACACCAACACCATGCAAATCCTACCTTAAAATCATAAAGATATGAACATACACTCAATACATCAATATAAGTACTGTGCTGTCCTGAAGAATTAAAATAGTTAGTGCTTTGGAATACATGAAGTACTCTATTATCTTATTGTAAACAAACTGGATTCAGGGACATTTGATAAAAAGTTTATCTCTTTGCATTCTGAAAATCATGTGACCCGAATCCTAAAATTCAAATTTCAAAACAAGGACGATAGATAGCTCTGTAAGAGCAATAGATGAGAGTTTGAAAATGTAATCTGCCAGGCATATAGACTTGATCTGTGTTGTATCCTCATCTAACCTGGGTACTCAAATATATGTTACAGCTGGGCTTTTGGGTTAGAGAAGGTAAAAGTTTTCTCTACTACAGGCATTCTGTAATTGTGAATGTTTGAAGATGAATTAATTTGAACATTGTGATTCCTTGCGATGTACTTAAGTATATGTTGCTGTTACTATTGCAATGTGTATTCCTTTTCAGTGGTTGGGAACAACTTATATTTGGGAATATTTGATATGCCTTATTTGTATGCCACAACAAGCAATTTGTTAATTATGGTCAGCCAGCAGAACTGTCAAAGTAAACTTGTCAGATTTGCTATGTCCAGTAAGCGGATAGGTCACAGGGCCGGAGTTTTTGAAATATTGGCGAAATATTATTTTGAGGAGTTTTTTGGAAGGTTTCTCTTCATGAGCTCTCACAAAATTCTCTGCAGCTTGCCTTATTATGTATGCACCATACCTCAGTTGTGCCCAGCTTGCATAATTGGGTGCTCAGCAATGACAGAAGTGCTCAACACTGCTGGGACCTCCTGAGATTCCTGGCTCAAGTACATAGCTAAAACTCAGCCGTGTGCAGTGCATGTATTAGTGGAAGGGGTACTGAAAAGAAAAGCTTCTAAGGGCACATAGGTAGTACAGGTAGAAATGCATTACAAATGCAAGTTCATGTGCAGAAATGTATTGCTATTTTACATACAGGTTATCTGTCCTTAGTACCATACTATCTTAGAACACTGTCAAATGGGGTGCTATTCTTTCCCTAATACACAACATGATGTAGCATCTTCTCACTATTCAATGTAGGAGCATCGCATGTTGGACAGCCTACAAACAGTTGAAAACGTTAACTTTTATTCAACAACAAAAAAAGTGAAGAAAGAACAAATGATAAAACTGCAATTGCTTCAGAGAATAAACCAGACCATTTACCTTTTGAACAACAACAAATGTACAGTCAATGAAAGATCAGTGGTGCCAGCTCCTGTCTATTGGAACTGGGTGTCTATTAAGTCATGGCTAACTTGTTGTACCCAAAGCTGCAGCACTCTATCTTGTCAAAGATGATGTTTCTCCTGCTCAATGTCCCCATCTTTCTCCTCGGAAGACTGCTGTCACTCTCACAGCTCTTCAGAATCCATCATATCCCCTCGTTGCCTGCTCCAGAGCACATCATGCTAGGATTATGTGGCACACTCTGTCTGGAGTGTACCGCAAGGCCTCACCAGACTGATCCAAAATTGGAACCTCATTTTCATCAGGTCTATCATCTGCTATTCGACAGATCTGGTCGAGGAATGCATTGTATCTATGCTATGGTTGCAGAGAGTTGCCGTTCTCCCAGTAACTATCCTTTTAAAGGCATCTGACCCTTGAAAGGATTTAGGAATCATGTCAGCTCCTAGGGTACATGATGTAGACTTCCAAATATGGTACTGATGATCACAGATCACTTGTACATTGATGAAATGGAACCAATTTCCGCTGGTGAAATTTGCTGCTATGATATAAGTGCTCTCATCGCAATGTGTGTACAGTCTATAATGCATAGCATCTAGGGGAAGCCAGCTCAGGTGGCAAAGCCCACTGCCCAGGCTGAAGAAGCACTGACCTCGTCATGGGGAAATGAGACACAGTTTTATGGTGTGGCACAACTTGGTCAGTTACAGTCTTGATACATTTGTGGGTTGAAGATTGAGAGATCCTTTGTAAATCTTCAGTGGGTGCTTGGAAGCAGCCAGTGTAAACATTTAGTGGAGTTATTCGCTTGATAGCACCTAGATGAGGATGGCTACCCACTCCTTCAGGTTGCAGGTCCCACTGCAGCAGTTTGCATAGTTCTGTGATGGTGTCCCAGGATATTCTCGGTCTGTGAAAGTAATGTGCCTTGCTCATTCTGGAGGAAATGGCCTCAAGGGCATTTGCCTCTGGGCTTCCTGCATGTACTTCGCAATATGAGGGGATCATCAGCTGCAGACACTTCATGTGGAGGCTGTTCAGCAGCTGCTGGAGGCTGCTATTGGTCTTGCGCTTGCTGGCATGTTTGTTCCTCCTCTATCTCTCTACATCTTTGTAGCATGATAGCCATAGCAACAATGACTTCCACTGTTCCAATGAATCTGTGCAGGGAATATTTGAAACAGAACTGGTTCTTAGTAATGTGAGCTTTCAGCATCATATGAGTAATGGTTTAACACAGTCCTCCAAATAGTGGGATATAGACAACCCCAACAAGGAGGGGATGGAATGCATTGACACAGGCCTTTGAATGGGGGACCTTATTCTAATGAATGCAGCAAAAGCCCTGTGACACAAATACAATAGGAGAACACAACTGCAGCGAGATTACTGATACCCTGTCCTCCAAACCCCAAATTACCCAGGAAAAGCAGCAATGCATATAACAGCATGTTGACAAATACTTACAGTTCAAAGTGAGCAGTCTAAGAAAGCTTGGATCATCTCTGTGAAGTTGGGCCACCGATAAGACTTTTAAGGTTATCTGTGATTATTTTTGCTTCACAGAAATAACTATGTTTGAAATTGCTGGTATCCCACACAATTGAATACTACATGCCTTTCAGATGCAGGATACAATGATTACAAATGTCTTCAACCTGCTTGATTAATGCAATTTCCCCTTTGAAGGGCATCACTTCACTTACAAGTAGAGCCCATATGCTCAGACAGAAAAAAATAAACTTACCCTGCCCACTCTGGGTGTGCTCACAGTCACTTTTCTTTTCCATTTACAATATGTATGAGGATGGAAGGCAATGCCTGGCACTGTGAGTCACAGACTCAGCATGGTAATCAGTAGAGAGAGAGATTCCCCAAACCTCCAGTCTCCTTTCTTCGTTGCACTCCCTGTCAATTCCATCAGTACTAAGTGTCCGCACGTTTCCATACAACTCTTAAGTCTTCATTTCCTCATATCAACACACCCCATGCCCCAGTCCTACAACTTAACCATGTCAACCATCGTGCTGCACTGTTCCTCTGTCAAAGCTGAGGTGGTTGTGATTGTGAATGACCCCCTCCCTTCCACAGTAACCATGTCAAGGATTGCACTACTGTCTTTCACCCTATATTGTGCCTCCCTTTCATAATTACTGGCCATTCTGCATCCCAGCATGCTGCCTCTAATCCCTACAATTGGCCTTCCCATCTTTCCTAGTACATCAATGGTCCACGATAATCCCCCTCAGCTTCCATTGGACTGACTGTGTTCCATTTTCCTGACCGATTTGGATGGACAACCCCTCCTGATGAGTGAATGGGCCCCTAACTGATCTCTTTGCAGCTCACCAACTGACATACAGTGAATCCCCAGACTGGTTGCACTGGGCCGCAAGTTTTCCAATGCCCTCTTACCAATACAGAACCCCTGGATCCTAACTACCCCAAGTGGCAGACTAACTGTGTCCAAGTTTCTAGACTTAGATGGGAAGTTGCCCTTGATTGCATTAGTGAACCAGATGGGTTTTTCAGAAATCAACAAAGGTCATGGTCATGAGGTCCACCTGGCTGACCTCATTACAATCACTACACCAGACCATTAGCTGGGTCTCTGGTTTAACAGTCCAGCAATAATACCAGAAGGCCATTGCCTCCCCTGCTGAAAATCATGACAAGCTAGCTTTGTGCCTGCACGAGATGGCAAGGCAAGACAGGGCTGAGATGCTGTGGGTATCCAAGTAACTGCAAAGTGAGTGAGCTTAAGCAAGGAGCTTTGAAATGCATCTTCTCCAATCCATGAGGTAGGCGCTTGGTTGTAGACCCCAAAGTGCTGCATTGACGTGGGGAACTGTATTCTAAGGAGGTTAGAGATGTGCCACGATGATGTTGTCCAGATCTTGGTTACCGCTGTCTAAGATAGAGGCCAGAGGGCAAGTGGTGAGTTAGAGATGCAAAGTACTCGCTCTGACTTCCATGCTGGGAATTATCACTGTCTAGTTTCTCCCTGGTTCATGGGAGAAAAGGAAACTGCATATAAATGAGACAAAATTAGTTACTAGTGGCAAATATCACCAGTGAGATTCTCACCTTGCCAGTCAACACTTACTTACAGAATCTGACATTTTTCTTTCAATGTTGGGAATCTTATTACTTGCCATATTTTCTTTACTGACTTGCCATTGCTCACATTGTTCAGGGTCTTGGAAAATTCATCCCTCATTATTTGCTGGACGCTGTTGGTGCCAGCCTTTGGAGTTCAACAAGGTCCAACAAAATGCTGAGTCAGCTTCCGTACACTGACATCATGTCAGTGAAACGCAGACTATTTATTAGCACACTTTAAACGGCTGGACACCTCCCAATAACTTATGCTTCTAAAACACACTACAGGTAAAGTGAAGGAAGCATTCAACATTGAAACAAAATTATTGTAAAATATATCAGTGGGATTTCTGACATGATGGCAGTTATATTTGCATGTGCCAGTATCACAGTCAAGAATGTGAAGAGTATATGCTTAACATAGACGTACTCAAAACAGCAAGTGTTCTTTATTTGACTAAATAAAGAAAGCACAGGTGTTAAAGGTCGGGAGGAATTGTGATTATTTATTTGCACTTCCTGATGAAGGAAGGTGCTGGGTGGCTTACTAGGAAGATTGCTGATTGTTAGCTAACAAAGTCAGTGATTGCTGGTTAATTCTAAAGATCTCACATGCTAAACTAATGGACAGTAGGTGTTTTTGTCTGCAATGTAAATGAAGTGAATTCTTGCATTATTCTTCTTTAAACATTCACTGCTTTTTACATTTGTGATATCACAAAAATCAAGGTGGCATTCTAAATCTAAGGTAAAACTAAGTGACATTTGTCTCTCTCTTCCAATCATTTGTCTTTGTCTCTTCTGTGATCATCAGCAAGATGGTATTTCCTTTTGTGATGTCATTTACAGTTGCACAGTAGAACAGAGCAGCCATTACATAGGAAAGAAAAATATGAACTAAAACTGTAAATACCAATTATTGCTGTCGAATAATTGGCTTGCTTTAGAACTTCTGCCAGTGTTGTTTCATTCAGCGGTAGGCCAGCTACTGAGTTTACAGCAAAATTATGGGTAACGCCATTCCGTAGCCCCAGGCGCCCTGTCAGCAGAGAAGCCCGAGATGGGGAACAAGTAGAGGCAGCTGCATGGAAGTCCTCAAATCTGAAACAAAAAAAAACAAGGAGCAAAATCTGAGGATTTTTGCAAATATGTTGTCATGTAGCAAGCTGCAAAACTGACCTGCTTAGTTTCATAGCTGTCGATGTCAGTTATAGTCATAGCAGAATCAAAGAGTCATACAGCATGGCAACAGACCCTTCAGTCCAACCAGGCCATACCAACCATGTGCCCACTTGCCTATGCTTGGCCCATATCCTTCGAACCTTTCCAATTCATGAACTTATCTAAATGTCTGTTAAACACTGCAACTGTAAGTGCATTTACCACTTTCTCTGGCAGTTCATTCCACACATGAACCACTCTCGGTGTGAAAAAGTTGTCCCCATATCCATTTTAAATCTTTCTCCTCTTAAAAATATGACCCCTAGTTTTGAACTCACCCATCCTAAGGAAAAGACCCTTGTCACTCACCTTATCTATGCCCCTCACAGTATTATAAACCTCAATAAAGTCACCCCTCAACCTCATATACTCCAGTGAAAAATGTCCCATCTTTTCCAGTCTATTTTTATATATCAAACCCTCCATTCCCAACAACATCCTGGTAAATATTTTCTCAAGACGCTCCAGCTTAATAATATCCTTCCTATAACAGGGCGACCAAAATTGCACACAGTACTCCAGAAGAGGCCTCATCAATGTCCTGTACAACCTCAATCTGACATCCCAATTCCTATACTCAAGGGTCTGAACAATGAAAGCAAGCATGTTAAACGCCTTCTTAACCGCCTTGTCTACCTGTGACGCAAATCTCAAATAATTATGTACCTGGACCCCTAGGTCTCTGTTCTACAACACTATCTATGGCCCTACCATTAATTGTATAAGTCCAGTCCTTGAGTGTATTACCCAAATGCAATCCCTCATATTTATCCAAACTAAAGTCCAACTGCCACTCCTCAGCCCACTGGCCCAACTGATCAGGATCTCTTTGTAATCTTAAGCAACCTTCTTTACTGTCCACTATACCATCAATTTTGGTGCCAGCTGCAAACTTACTTACCATGCCTCCCATAATCTCATCCAACCATTATATAAACGACAAACAAAAGTGAACCCAGTACCGAGCCCTGTGGAACAGCACTGATCACAAGCCTCCAGTCCGAAAACAATCCCCCACCAGAACTCCCTGTCACCTACCATAAAGCCAATTTTGTATCCAATTGGCAAGCTCTCCCTGAATCCCATGTAGTCTAACTTTCATAAAATACTAGCACAATTTCTTCAAATCTTGAAATTCTTCTGGAAGGAGCATGTGAAATATTATTCTTAACATGGGCAAATATGTGCCCATTTTGCCACCTCCCTCCACAAATGGCAGATCATTCAAAATGGACAAATGCTGCCTGCAACCAAACCTTAGGACATAGCTGTGAAGAGATTAGGCACCTGCAACTGCATCTCTGGGAAGCACAAGAATGGATTTAAAAATACATTCATCATACTGGCATCAAGGTAAAAATAATATTAAGCATGTATGTTTATTCAGTTGGAACTATGTTTCTCCAATTTGGAGAGGTCCACATTTCCAATTGGCCACTTGACTCTCCAGCTTTAATGGTTGAAGCAGTTGGT